GCCTCTAACATACATCCATGGGAGCCTCTAACATACATCCATGGGAGCCTCTAATGCGGGGCTCTGCAGAGGGCAAAATAGTGGCAAATAGCAAATAACCCTAACCCTAACTCTATATGGAAGATAAGGAAGAGGATTAGGGCCACTGAAAAAAATGTAAAAAGTTAACTGATTTTTACATTTTATTTCAGCTTAAAATGGGGGGAAAAAAAAATAATAATTCTGACTTCTTTCTCAGAATTCCTACTGACTTTAATCTCAGAATTCTGACTTTTTTTTCTCAGAATTCTGACAGCTAACAAACATGTTAGCATCAAGCCGTATCCATGTTTGATTTAGAGACTAAACTAGCTCTCTTGTTTTAATCACCTTCTGCTTTTCTATTAATGAAATACAGTAGCATCACCAGGGACCCCTCGGGCACATAAAAAGTCACCTAATTCCGTCATTTTCCACCAGTGTGTTACTGGCCCTCCCAAACAACTCACATATTTGTCAGTGAAGCTGTGTGCTTCCACATCTCTACCTTCATGGTGCCCATCTACATTAAGATCCAAAATTCTGAGATTAAAGTCAGAATTCTGACTTTTTTCCCCATATTAAACTGAACTAATATTTAAAAATAATTTCATTTTTTTTATAAGGGCCACTGGAAAAAAAAAAAAAGTTAACTGTTGTTTTAATTTAATTAGAGTTAAGCATGGGAAAGTCAGAATTCTGACTTTAATCTCAGAAGTCTGACTCTGAGATTGAAGTTAGAATTCTGACTTTTTTCCCCTATTAAACTCAAATTTCATGAATAAGTCAACTTTTTTAATTCTCTTTCACATTTGTACAAATAGTTCTTAGAAGCTTTAGTGTTTTTATTTATTTATTTATTTATTTTTTACAATATTTGAATTGAATTTTTACAGCAGGATGACATTAAAAGAACCACCAATATATGTTTAAATATATTTTTCTGTCTTTGGTTTAGAGATTGTTAGTTTTTTTTAATTAACAATAACTTTTTGTCTGCATCAAAATGTATATTTCATCTTTATGAAACCTTTTTATGTTTTTTTATTATTATTTTTGAAAGCTGAGATACAAATAAACTGTTGGTTGTTTAAAATTGCAACGGATTTTCTATGGCAGATATATTTTTAAAAAGTGTTTTATTGAAAATTTATAGAATATTTGTGGCTCTAAATGACTTTTACTTAGCTTGACTCAGGGCAAAATGACACTTTGCATTTAAAGGTTGCAGACCCCTGCTCTAACGAATAAGCACATTATTTTGGTAAAAACAACATTTAAGAATTAGGTCACTTGAACTTGAGTCACATCCTCTCTTTTTGAGGTCTATTGAGCCCTACATTTGCAGCAGTAAATATTTTTTATTATTCTTAAAGGGCTTTAGGAGTTTATTATATAAATAATTCTCCCAGAAGCTCATATTAAACAGCCAGGCACTGATGTTCATGATTGCAAAAGTCATGAATAGTCAATAAATGTAAAATTTCACATCATTAAAACTATCACAATATGTTGAATTATTCCGATAGTTGTAGGAATATTTGTTCCATTTGTTTTCAATCATATTAGATCAAGTTAATTTCGCTTTAAATCATTGCTGCGTATTGTTTTGCACTTCAAAGTTTCTACCTAAGAATGGTTTTTAGAAATCCCCCTCAGCAGCAAAGTTTAAACCTTTCCTCTCCACTCTTACCATGCGGACCGCCTTCTAACTTCCTGATGTCAGAAACTAATATTTTCTGCTACCTAAAGTCCACAAGGCCTGATATTTTTAAAGCTCTATTCCATTTTTTTATTTTGTCTTTTTAGTTGTCAACATGAAAATCTTAATGTACATAAACCTTTATTTATTTTAGATGTATACTCTCTAAGTGTGTCTTGTGTTTTGCAGAAATCCCGGATTTTTTGTCAGAGGACGAGTGCCGGGTGGTGATGCAGCTCGCTCAGCTGAAGGGTCTGATGGAGAGTCAGCTGATGGTGCAAGAAGGTCAAGAAGAGCTTGCAAAAGAGCTTGACCTGAGTCCAGAGGAGATCTTTAACCTTCTTGATATCAACCAGGATGAACAGCTGCAGCTTCATGAGGTCTTTGTCAGTTTGGGGATTTAAGAGCAATTCATACCTCAAAGAGTGGTTAACTCACATCATCTTAACTATTGTTGCCTCAAAGATACTGACTCATTCCAGAGTGAGGGATGGAATATGGCTAACTCCTGAGAACCTGCAAGAAATTTATGAGGGGCTCAAAGCAGACAAGGATGGTGACGGTAAGAAACGGTGTCTTTGACTCTTGTGATCACAACAGGGAAATGAGAAATATTGATTAGTTGCAGATAAACCCTAAACAAACTATAACCCTTAATAAGTAAATAATAACATGTTATTCATTCATTATCATACACCTAATGTAAAACCCAAGTTATTACTAATTAGATAAAACCTCTAAATCCTTTTTGTGTTGGCCCTTAAAGGAATAGTACACCCAAAACATGATTAGCCTTCATTTTCTACTCACCCCCATGCTGAACAACACTCTGGAGTACTTTTTTGATATCTCAAATGCATCTGGAGATCTGGGAGGCTTCTTGCTGTCTGCTGACATTCAAATAATGGAGGTCTATGGTGCCCGAGACAGAAAGGTCCATAAAAGTCCACAAAAAACGTGTCAATATTCCTCCATACTGCTCATCCAATGTATTCCAAGTGTCCTGAGTGGGTAGCATCCAGAATTTACTCGAATCGAGGTCATTTAGAATGTTTTTAGAGCATAAACAGTAGTGTATAGGATTTCCTGAAAGCGCGCGCCTGCGAGTTCACGACGCTACGGAAACCGCGGCAGACCAAACCAGATGAAAGTGCGCATTCAGCTCGGCAAAGAACTCATGCTCTTCCTCAACACTGAAGTCCTCAGACATTTTTCTTTCGTTGTTTCTTTCTTCGCTTGCATTATCGGCAGAGCAGACGCTGAATGCGCACTTTCATCTGGTTTCATCTGGTTTTGAATAATTTTATATTTCATTTAATTCAAAATTGTGTGCATTAGAAATGTATGTTTCTCTTTGATTTACTGATTTACGTGTTAGTCGAAGATTTTCTTTAATTAAAATAAAGTCAGTAATTAAAAAAAAAAAGAACGTTTTTGTAGAGATGTGACTTAAAAATCCCCCTATCATTGTGATAGGTTTGCTGAGCCTGGAGGAGTTCCGGCTCCTGAGCAGCGATGCCTTTCAGCGCTTTCTGCTGCAGAGAGGAGTGAAAAGGAGTCAGCTCGTTCGGAACAGTCGGCACACCTGGCTGTATCAGGGCAAGGGAGCCCATCGGGTCCTCCAGGAAATCAAGGAGAGGTGAGCAAGTTAAAATCTTCCTCTGTTGAAGATTCAGCAGTTATTTGTTTAAAGCTAGCCGTTCTTGCTTTAAAGGGTGACTCGCCTCACCCGGCTCCCATCGGCATTAGTAGATCTGAGTGAGCCGCTTCAGGTGGTTCGATATGAGGAGGGGGGGCACTACCATGCCCACCATGACAGCGGGCCTGTCTACCCTGAAACGGCATGCACACACACACGTCTTGCAGCAAACACCTCAACTCCTTTTGAGACCTCTTGCAGGTAAGGTGCTGACAGGAAAGGCTTTAAATTGTTAACTTTTGTGCATCTGCTTGTGTGTTTCTACAGTACATGTGTGCTTGTATGTTCGTCTGCACCATGTGTATGTCAATTTAAACCTGTGTTGCACACTTAGGTACATCACAGTTCTCTTCTACCTGAATTCTGTTGATGGGGGCGGGGAGACCGCATTCCCTGTGGCAGACAACAGGACCTATGATGAAGTGGTGCGTAAAGTGTCAGAAGAGAGTTGTGCAAGGAGTGCATGGTTTTCACGTCTGTGCTAGCTCCCATGTCTGTCAGCTAGTGTTTGTGCTCAGCATGAAAGAAACTGCTTCACTTAGTTCCAGTTTGTGTTTTAGTCTCTGATACAGAATGATGTGGATCTGATGGACACCAGAAGAAACTGTGGCAAGAGCAACCTAAGAGTGAAACCCACCAAAGGAATGGCTGTTTTCTGGTACAACTACCTCTCGGATGGAAAAGGTGCAGAAAATATGGCATATATTTTGTTTTTATCCAAAATTTGACAAAGAATGCATTTGATTTCGAACACCCTCTCCACTTAAAAAGAAAATGCACATGCACAACCCTGTACCCGCTCCAGAGAGGGAACACCTATTAAATGCGTGTGAGAGCGTGCACGAGTCCATTTCTCCTTGTGCACGCTCTGTTTAAAAGTTGCTGTTTGCATCACTCATAAAAGCTTACTTTCCAAAGATTTGCTAGTTTTTTTCACTCTGTCAGGCCGGTAAGTGAAAATTGGGACGAACATGTAAGTGTCATGATGGGTTCTTAGAGTTAAGCCCAAAATGCAGAACACACACGGAAACTGGGTAAAAGTTCAACAGAGTTTATTATGGTTCACAAGCACACGATAAAGAATCTGATCTGGAACAGGTTCAGGGTTGGTTCACTAAAGTCTTAACTGGGACTGGAGACTGTTGGTTAGCAGAGTTCATGGGAAGCTAAACGTCTAGCTTCAAGCTTAGCATGGCAGACCTTGATCTGAGCTTCCAGCTCGCTGCAGAGAACAACAGGGAAAATCCACATAGGATTTCACAGACTGAGCTTCCAGTTCATTGCAGAGAACAACAGGGAATTTCCACATAGGATTCTTCAGGGTGAGCTTCCAGCTCATTGCAGAGAACAACAGGGAATATCCACATAGGATTCTTCAGGGTGATTCCACATAGGAACCTTCAGGTTGGCTCACCAGGGCAGATTAGCAGGTTAAGCTCTCCTAGAGCTTCAGGCTTGAGACTGGTTCCTGTGATGCAGCTCTCCCAGAGCTTTAGACCAGAGACAGGGTTCCAGTGAGGCAGCTCCTCTTGAGCTTCAGACCAGAGACTGGTTTCCAGTGAGGCAGCTCTTCCTGAGCTTCAGACCAGAGACAGGTTTCCAGTGAGGCAGCTCCTCTTGAGCTTCAGACCAGAGACTGGTTTCCAGTGAGGCAGCTCTCCCAGAGCTTCAGACCAGAGACAGGGTTCCAGTGAGGCAGCTCTTCTTGAGCTTCAGACCAGAGACTGGTTTCCAGTGAGGCAGCTCTTCCTGAGCTTCAGACCAGAGACAGGTTTCCTGTGAGGCACAGACAAAGGAGAGATTAGAAATCTGATCTCACACTAGAGACAACCAAGATTCAATCTGAAACAGAGGCTCTGGAAGCTAACCAACTAAGATCAACACTGCGGCGTGGAAGCAAGGTCTGGCAGGGGCTTATAAAGGGGAGGTCTCCTGATGAGAGGATTAACAACAGGTGTGCAGGAAGACTCCAGCCCTAGGAGACCCACGGCGCACTCTGCTGGAGACAGAGGGTAATCTCCAGATCCCAGCAGTAACTCCAGTCCTAAAGGAAAGAAACACAGAACAGAAGAGGATCCTCTGCGCCCTCTGGTGGGCAAGCCTGAGGATCCCAACAGTAAGATGGCCTTACGTAAACATATCACCAGAATGATTGACAATGAGGAGGACCACTTATCTTGATGATCCACCCAGAAAAAGAACATCCTCCACTATACCTTTAAGAGTGAATCAACAAGTTTTTAAGAGCAACTCTAAGCAAGAAGGAAACAGAATATTTTCATCTTGGTTGACCTAGTTACAAGGTGCAACACTATCTTGTAGGAGCAGTGAATGGTGACACATGAAACAAAGAATAAAAACACAGTCATGCTCCTGGTAATCAATAGAGAAAAGTGAACAGACAATTTAATTTAGAGATGAAAAAAAAGCTGCCTTATGATGATCATGCAAAATTATTTTTTTTTACACTTTAAAATGTATGAACAAGCTTAATTATATCCTCATTATTTAGATTTTTTTTTTATTGTTTACCATGCTGTTCATTGTACTACTTACTCTATTTGATATAAATGAGGAAACAACGGTTAGAGTGTTACTGGGATTTCCTGCCTCTTCAGGACAGTTCTTTTTGGCAGATGAGCCCACGTTAAGTTAGCCACTGTCCACACAGCTCAGCGAGGAGAATACAGGAGTTGGTCCTGGGATCACCAGGACCAACCATCACCAGATGCGTCCATCTATGGCTGTACACACCTGCAAAGTGAGAAGCCCTACATGTTGCAATCAAAAGCAAGATCAAAAGGATCTTCTAGATTCCCATTTAGTTTATGAATACTGGCATTATCCTGTATAACAGCAAATATCACCTCTTTTGCATCATCTTTCTCTGTGGGCTGTATAAAATGTATGTTAAAGTATTTTATGTATATATACAGTATTTCTGTGACTTTTCACAGCTTTTTTTTCCCATTTAGAGCAAATTAATGTTTCCCTGCATTTATAAAGTATTAATTATTTTATATTGTTCAATAACTTGATCCACATTTATGTGGCAAAACAGCTTTGAGCTGCAATGAACTGGTACGGCAATCTTTTCTGCTTGAGAGACTCTTAGGCTTGATCCAAATCAGCAAGGACAACATGCAAGGGCTTCTGAGGTCACCGTGATAAGTCCTATCGAATAGTCCAAGCAGTAAGAAAGGATGTAGGAAAAGGAGCCCATATGCTTCCTAAAGTAGTTTTGTTAGCATAGGGAGCCAAGAAGCTATAAACAATCCCAAATCCTTTGTGTGACATGAGGTATAAGCACAGACCACCTCATGGAAAAGAACAAAAATACATCATTTTTAGTGTATAATGTGTGACATAAAAAATGAATGCACCTTCATATGTTTGAGGTTTTATAATAGAAATATCCATTTACTACATTTGTGTAACCTACTTTTTTGTAGTTGTCAGAAGGCTGTAGTCCTACTTTGACAATCAGTCATCCATGTGTGTTTCTGTTGCGTAATGATGCCCAAAAGGCTAAAGGCTGCATAGATCGGACTCATTAAAGTGTTTTTACTGTTGAATCTATAAAAGCTGAATGACAACAAGCTACAAACTAGAGTTAGGGGGTTTGATTTGTTGTATTTGGATTAAGCCTTTGGCTTGCTCAAAGTCCCTTTTACTAATCCTAACATATTTCCACTTCACAAGCTTCCTTTAAGAAGTAGGTTACTTTGTAAAAAGACTGTTTATCTAATTGATATAAATAATAAGAAATACAATATTAGAGACCTTTTATGATTTTTCTTAAAATAACGTCACTGAAAGCTGCTATTGGGTTAAGGTTTTCTAGTAATTAGAGCAGAGACTCTCAGAAGACATGTTTGATTTTTTGATAAATGTCACATTTAATCAAATCAGAGATCCTGTGAACTTTATATCTTGGCTGATACTGCATTTTTCATCTGCTCTACTAAAATAACTTAACCTTTATTTCCTATTTAGATCAGATAATAGCATAATTCTGGCCAAATGTATAATATTGATGATAGAGTGTTGGTTTGTGTTTTTGTTTTCTCATCAGGCTGGGTTGGAGAGCAGGATGAATATGCTCTGCATGGAGGCTGTGTGGTCACCCGCGGGACTAAGTGGGTAGCCAATAAATGGATCAATGTTGATCCAGATTACCAGCGGCAGGCTCGCTTCCAACAGCTGGTTACACAGCTGCCAGATGAAGACAACGACGAAGATCTTATTTTAAATGCAGACGCGCAGAATCCCAGCATCCATCAGGACCTGTAGCTCCTACACCAACACAATCATGTTTCACAACAAAATCATCCTTGTCTTCCTCAATCCAGTGCACAGATTTTTTGGATGAGTTTGCGGAATCATAGTTTATTCAGGGAATGAGTTCACAATGGGAAATAGATGCCTTTGTAGCAACAGTATATTTTGTTTGCTGTTGCACTAGCCCCCCGGGGAACAGTTGTAATTTTCCGAATGTTTCAAATTGTGTAAGATTTAGTGATATCTAGTGGCAAAATTTTCAAGTGCATGCTTTTGAATTTTCCCGTTCCGAATCTCATCTTCCAGACCTGCAGGGTAATGTTCACAGCAGCCAAAAAAAAAATAATCATAAAAATCAGTCAGTGTTTGTCTGTTCCTCTATAAACTCTAGAAACCTGCAAAAAAATCTGTAAAAACATTGCATTCTTTAATTATAGCACAGCATTTCCTACCCTAAAGTTATATATTGCCTTTATGCCAGTAGATTCCTCTAAATGTTACACACCTAAACATTTTTGCATGTATAATCTAAACGGTTTTGCTGTTGTGACGAGCAAACCTTTGCACTACAATACTGCGACAGCTGCCGTTACCAAAAGAAGCTCATGCCTCTCGGTGTGATGCATGATGCCTTGTCTTTGTCTCTTCAGTACAATGATACTGTTTTTTTCTAGAATGCACAATGAATGAAAATGCACATGATGTTCAGAGTTCTTTTTATTCATTTATTTATTTATTAAATTATCAATGAAAATGCACTCTTTCAGTGTTCCTGCACAAAGTAAAATGTAATGAATCCCAACTGTCTCTTGCATCTTTTTTTCTAACAAAGCTTTAAATAATGGCTAAATAACACTTTAGCATGACAACAAAATGAAAGTATAAACATAAGATAAAAGGTTTTAACTGTTTCCTTAAATTACTCTAATGTTGGATCCAAGGAAGCAGACTTTTAGATAGTTTGTTAAAGTGCCTATTATGAGTAATTCTGGCCTTCTGAAGGTAATTAAAGGTTTTGGCTGCTTTTTTTATTTATTTTATCTTCAGTTCTTGTACCTGCTCATGACAGCAGATTCTGCACTCTGAATTCAAACTGAGGATTGGCAAAGCCAAAGGAAAAATGCTGAAAAAAGCTAGACCAGAAATAACTGCAGCAACATGACTTAAAAATCATGTATTTTCAAGTAACAAGTAACAAAAACCTGATGAAGGATGTAAGATTCATCAACTTTAAGGTTTTTCAGAACCCTTTAAAATCTTCCTTACTGCATGAACTGACCAGTTCAATTTGGATCCTCTTCATCCTTAATTGTTGAAATATAACATTTATATTGGTATTCAGACAGGTTTTTTTTTATTCCCATTTGGATGAGGAGTAGATAAAAGAAGTCGATCTCATTAAATTTAAAATGAAGGGAAGCAGGAAATAACAGCTTTTTCTATAAACATTTTAATGCACTTAATGCCATTAAGAAAATACTTCAGGTACATTTATTTTATAGTTCATACATAAGCCTTTTCAGTTGCCACTATTCTTAACATCATTTTTTCTTTGTCAAAAGAGTATTTTCTAAGTTCTCTAGATATTCAGCATTTTCACATTTTATTTGATATCATATAATTGCATTAAAATTTATTTGGTTAAGCTTTTATAATTCTTATTTCCATCTGGGTTGCAAGTAATATATTTTTTGCTTAAAATACTGTTTTGGAGAAGTTTTAACATCTAAATTTAAGCAAATTTTGTCTTTTGGAGATCTGCTAATCATTAATACTGGACCTAATGATCAGATCTTAAACAGGTTAGGTTTGGTGCAATGTAAAATAACTGCGCTCGTTTGTTCTGTGAGGATAAGAGGCTATTTAAATCAAATAAATGAAGTTAAGAGCTTGATAAGAAAGACCTTTTAATGGAAATAAACAGGTAACTAAACAAAAAGAGTTACAAAGAAGTCACCTAAAAAATCCTTCAGAAAGGCACTAAAGAAAAAAACATCTTTAAATTATTACAAACCTCTAGCTGAAAGGAGGCCAAATAGAGAGAAATAAATTATGACTCAAGACTTTTGCTCTAAGTTTTCCATCATAATCCTAATACTTATGTTAACATCACTGTATGTGCTCATTTTTCCATCAGATTTCACCGTCTGTGATGTTTCCTTCGTATCCATTTCTTTTATAGTCTTATGATGCTCCTGTTACAGTTTTGTGCCGATGTAAAAGGCCTGTAACAAAAAAAAACAGTTTTAATAAAGTAAATATTTTAGCTACTGGAAAATGTTACACGGCTGATGAATGATGAGATATTTATGCATCATTTCTGAATTTATCAAATGCAGCCTGTGAATGAGCTTCACCTGTAATGGGTCGTATCTAGGGAGTGATGCTGCTCCTCGATGGTTGAGGCAGTGAAGCACAGCATCGTGTACAGACACAAAAAGATGTTCTTTTCCTATCGTATCAGAGAAGAAGTCACCAAGCTCTAGTTGTTGTACAACAGATGCTGTAAAGAAGAATATTGAAAAGGAATCAGGAAACAAAAATGCAATTATTGAAGTGTTTGTTTTTTTATGATCTTTCACCGACCTTGACAACCAGAAATGTAGATATCCACATCAATCTCTCCGAAGTCTCGGAAAATCTGTAACCACAGGAATAAGTGGACAATGTTCTTCATTCGACCCTCTTTATTTTAAGATATTCTTGGTAATAAACAGAGCAAGGTTAAATTCTGCAATCAATCAATCTATCTATCTATCTATCTATCTATCTATCTATCTATCTATCTATCTATCTATCTATCTATCTATCTATCTATCTATCTATCTATCTATCTATGTGTGTTTGTGTGTGGGGGAGACAATTACATATTTTTGACATGTCAGTACCCAGCACATGTACCCAGCATAAAACAACGTTGTACAATCCAGATCTAGTACCGTAATATACAGTCTGACATGCTCCAAAAAAACAGTTCATTTAATAACAAACTGACAAACTGGTGAATTCTGTGTTACAAAGTAACTTCCAGCAGAAAAAGGTTTAGCGTAAGCATCCCTCTGCTGTAATCAGCCAAGAAAACTAAGAAAAACCACAAGCACTAAAATATGGGAAAGAAAACCAATCCACAGCGTAGACGAATGTTAAGGCTTTGTTTGGAACTTCCTCAAGGCAAGAAAGCCAGTTAAGGTAAGAAGCCAATGTTGTTTTGTTTTTAACTAGGTCTGTATCATGCACCTAAACCCTTAATGAAGATATCAGACGATAAATACACAGAAAATACAGCTCTGCATAGAAATCTGCCCAGTAAGTATGGGCCCCAGGATCCTCCAGGCACAGTCAGACATCAATTGCTCAGACAATCCTGACCTTTTCCAGACATAGCATGGGGACTCAAGATTTATAGCATTATGGCTAGAGTTTGTTTCCTCTTAGAAGCAGTCTGATGTTTGTTTTTCATTGCTCAGGCTGAACTTACAATGAACCATGTAAGAGAAATAAAAACAATTATCAGTTCTAAACTCAAGACACCAATATAACTGAATATTGCTGAGTCAGTGATACAGTAAATTTTACAGTGCCTTGTCCAGGAAAACAGGCACATGTACTAATGAATCTTTATGGAAATAGAACACTGGGAGAAAGCATAAAGTTAATGGCAGCAATAGCTCAGTCAATGAACCTTTCCAGTAAAGAGTACAGTCAAATACTTTTATTTCTTTATCACTTACATTTTTCAGTGTCTCTATGGCCACTGTGTCAATGAAGTTAGCTGTGGATAGGTCAAGGATAATGGAATGAATGTCCCAGGTCCACTTGCCCAGAGAACCAAGAGACACTTGTTCTAGATCCCGGCTCAGAGTGTCCTCACTACTAGAGCCCAGAGTGATGGTGTCCCCATCCTGCAGCTCTGACATCCAACTGGTGCTGTCCAGATCTCCTCCTTTAAGATACTCCATCCTGGAGTGACACTCAGGCGTCCGAGGAGTGGTTGGGATCACAAATACAGTTCCGTTCTCCTTCTCGGTCCAGCTGTGTTCTTCCTTCTCTGCAGCTGTCATGTCTATACATGTGTCAGACCAGCTATCAGCCTCCTCCACTGAGATCTCTGGAGGTTGAGGTTGATCTTTAGCTGCTTTTTGTGTCTTTTTCTGAACAATCAGAGGAAGAGGAAGAAGGTCCTTTTGATTTTGAGCTGTCATCTACCTCAAAAAAGAATTCAAATAATAAAACTAAAAGAAAAAATCCATGTTTATGCTGAACATTCCTCACCTCTCCTTTAGCCTTTCTCTTAGCTCGCCTTTCTGCTCTCATTTCCTTTCTCCTTTGTTTGGCTTCCTGCCTTCTCTTATAGATGATCATTTTACTGATGTCAAGCCCACTCTAGAAACATATGGAAATCAAATCAAGATTTCAGTTAGACAAGAGGACCAAGAAAATATTGCTCTATTAAAGTTAGAAAACTTAAAAGAGCACCAAACTATATAAAAAACTATTTAGCTAAGCAAACATCTAATTTCTTTATTTCTTCTAAACTTAATTTCACACCAGTAATAGTGTTTATTTTGCATATTCATTCAAAATGGAAATTATCATTATTTTTCTAATAAGTAATTTTAGAAAAAATAATCATATTCACATTTAAAAACTAATATTCAGAATATTAAAAAAGGAATTAAGGAAAATGTATATTTTCCACAACGTGAAACTTAATAAGAAGTTCATAAGTCAAATTTGTGAATTTATAGAGCAAATCTGTATAGTCTGAACTATGAATGAATGAATGGATGAATGAATGAGTGATAAAGTACTTCCTTGACATAGTCAGAAAACACAGTAAAAGATAAGATAAGATAACCATAAAGGTCCAAAGACACAAAAACCATATAAAAAAGGAAGCTATTAAGTCATAAAAGTTGAGGGTATAAAACTGCACACAAGAAGTCTAAGAGCAACCAAAGCCAGTATGCATTTTCTAATCATATACCAAACTAAACAAATTGTTCTATAACTTTAAATAATAGTATCATGAGCAGAAAAGTCCAGAACCTCTTAACATGTCAAACAGAAAAAAAAAGCAGTTGTTAGTGTCAGGCTTTCTGGAAGTGGAAGAATTTCTTGTGACTCAAGCTGGTGTTTTACAAGTACACGAGAACCTAAGCTGCTCTGGGCTTGGTGTCCTTATTGCAGTGTTATAACTACCTCATCTGACAGAGGGGTGGAAAACTCAACATTAAAAGTGTTGTTTTTGTGCCCCTTGACCTGCAAGACACGTTTGCAGATTTGCAGAAAGAGACACCACTGTAACCTATTCCTGTTTTTGACTCAATCATTGTATCAACTGTATTGTATCAATATGAAGGGGACCAGTCCTTCATTGGGTGCCACATGTGTTTTGTGGATCTAGAGAAGTCTTTCAACCGTGTCCCTTGTAGTGCCCTGTGTTATGGGGTGTCTGCTCTCTGTATGACTGCAGGAGGAGCTTGGTTCTCATTGCCGACAGTAAGTCAGACCTGTTCCCGGTGCATGTTGCTCTCTGCCAGGGCTGCCCTTTGTCATCGGTTCTGTTCATTACATTTATGGACAGAATTTCTAGACGCAGCCAGGGACCAGAGGGTGTACGGTTTGGGGAACTCAGGATATCATCTCTGCTGTTTGCAGATGATGTTGCCCTATTGGCCTCATCAAACCACGAGTTTCGGCATGCACAGGGGCGGTTTGCAGGTGAGTGTTGGGCGGCCAGTATGAAGATCAGCACCTCCAAAACCGAGGCTAGGGTTCTC